CAGTATTTATGTCACCACTGCTGTAGAATTGTAGTACCTTATCAGGCTGAGTTGAAGAAGAGAGAACTATCTCCTGTGTTTGCTGGAAGAAAGGAGGGGAAAATTGCTAACAATATATTACTGTTTCCTTTGCAGTCGATGAAGCTAGCTAGTGAAACAGGCTTTTGGCAATTTAAGATGCAGTAACTAACTTGAACTGTTTAGAGTATATTAGCACTCCAAGGCTGGCATCAAGATTTCTAACAGTATTAGTGAAGTAAGACCCAAGAACCATGTCAGTTAGGTAACATGCTGTAATCTTTTCTTACTTAGATTTCCTATTTATTCCACCAGCCCTTTCAGAAGAACACACATGACCAAGTTTTACTTGGACTGTTTAAAAATTGAGACTAGTATTATTGTATTCTTGATGTTTCCTTGTATTCTTATGTCAAAAAGTGGCCTGTTTGCAACCAACGTTTACTTGAGTTGCATAGTTACACTCCTGTCACATTTAATTTCAGTATGGGAAATGACCAATGCTTTTGTCACTAATGATATCCCTTGCAGTACTTTAATTGCAGTCATTCATATTCAAGTGTACTGAACTACCTTTTTTGTATGTTCTCTGAATGCAAATGTATCACCAGTGTGTGTTTGTTTTCCTTTGGTCAGCTTGTGCAGTCCTTTATACATAGCCACTTGGTTTGTATTAATTTTTTAGATGCTTATTAAATGTATGAGTTTTAGATTCCGTATCCTTAAATAGCATAATTTGATACTTTTATCAATATAAGGTTAGGGTTGTACATTTAGGATAGCCGGTTTGTCTTCTATTCAGAACACAATTTTTTCATTTAGACATCACCTAACAACTCTGATCACTAACTTGTATCTTTTTTCTGGCATGGCTGCAAAATGTTGTTGAGTTCAGAAAAATCTTGGATATGACATGTCATTCTGTTCTCTCACTAAATCTTCAGCTTGTTGCTGTAGGTCAGTTTCAGGCTAGAGATGGTAGAAGATAGTACATGTGGATTGGGGGTTTAAAACACTTTCTGTTCACTGCAATTTGACATCTTTTATTTCAATACACAAGGTTTAACATGTGTAGATGCACTGATAATTATTATCTTCCATACCATTATTGGTACCTTATGACTTTAATCTGATCCCAATTGGCTAAACCTAGTCGTTGTCGTCTGGTCATTTAGTCGTGTCCGACTCTTTGTGACCCCATGGGCCAGAGCATGCCAGGCCCTCCTATCTTCCACTGCCTCCAGTAGTTGTGTCAAATTCATCTTGGTTGCTTCGATGACACTGTCCAACCATCTCATCCTCTGTCATCCCCTTCTCCTCTTGCCGTCACACTTTCCCAACATCAAGGTTTGTTCCAAGGAGTCTTCTCATGAGATGGCCAAAGCATTGGAGCCTCAGCTTCAGGATCTGTCCTTCCAGTGAGCACTCAGGGTTAATTTCCTTTAAAATGGATAGGTTTTGTTCTCTTTGCAGTCCAGGGGACTCTCAAGAGTCTCCTCACCACAGTTTAAAAGCATCAATTCTTCAGCAGTTGGCCTTCTTTATGATCCAGCTCTCATTTCCATATATCACTACTGGAAAAACCATAGCTTTGACTATGCGGACCTTTGTTGGCAAGGTGATGTCTCTGCTTTTTAAGATGCTGTCAAGGTTTGTCATGGCTTTCCTCCCAAGAAGCAGGCGTCTTTTAATTTCGTGGCTGCTATCTCCATCTGCAGTGATCATAGAACCCAAGAAAGTAAAATCTGTCACTGCCTCCATATCTTCCCCTTCTATTTCCCAGGAGGTGATGGGACCAGTGGCCATGATCTTAGTTTTTTTTTTGATGTTGAGTTTCAGACCGTTTTTTGCGCTCTCCTCTTTCACCCTCATTGCAAGGTTCTTTAATTTCTCCTCACTTTCTGCCATCAGAGTGTTATCATCTGCATATCGGAGGTTGTTGATATTTCTTCCGGCAATCTTAATTCCGGCTTGGGATTCCTCCAGTCCAGCCTTCTGCATGATATATTCTGCATATAAGTTAAATAAGCAGGGAGACAATATACAGCCTTGTCGTACTCCTTTCCCAATTTTGAACCAATCAGTTGTTCCATGACCAGTTCTAACTGTTGCTTCCTGTCCCACATATAGGTTTCTCAGTAGATAGATAAGGTGGTCAGGCACTCCCATTTCTTTAAGGATTTGGCATAGTTTGCTGTGGTCCACACAATCAAAGGCTTTTGCATAGTCAATGAAGCAGAAGTAGATATTTTTCTGGAACTCTCTGGCTTTCTCCATAATCCAGCGCAGGTTAGCAATTTGGTCTCTAGTTCCTCTGCCCCTTCGGAATCCAGTTTGTGCTAAACCTAGTACATTTACTAAATTAACATCCCAATTCCCAGATGGAGGTCTCAGGTTTTCTGTGTTGTCCCCACTCCCTGGCCAAGCAGATACATGTCCATTTCAAAGAAAGGCCAAATGGGAAGGTGTGTTTGTGCATGGTCTGTGTCTCTTTCTTTGAAGAACTGGATATCCAACCCACAGCTACCTCAGCAATAACTTTAAAACAGCCTAATGCAATCTGCATCTCTCCTAATGTACATCTAAAAAAGACATGTCTGGTAAAATCCATCTTGTCATGAACTTTGGGACTTTAAATTCTTCACAGTGGTACATACCTGATGTACTGGATGGTCTTGGTTCTTCAAAGGTCACATATTGTATGATGATTTATTATTTTTTAGTGGTCTATAAAGGTATTGCCTACACTTGCGTTTGTATTTTGTATTGGCCACACAATTCCTTTTTTATCTCAGTAGTATCTCCCAGCTACTCTTGTGTCTGTTGGTCTAGGTCTTTCTGTCTCTCCTTCTCCTTGGCTGGAATTATCAGGCTTCTCCACATGGTCCAAGACAGTGAACAACCCAGTGGACTTCTTAGAAGCTCATTTAGAAAGAGAGTTGGCTCATTTCATCAATCTTGAAGGATGTAGGTGCAGGAGAACTGCTTTGAATTTGGAGTTAAGTTGCACCCAAAGTGCCTGTTTACATCTGACAGCTAGTCCTTGCTCTCTGTGTTAGCTGTGTGTGGGATGGTTGCCAAATTTGTGTGACTAGAGGTTGCCTTTACATTTGAAAGGTGAGGTTTTATTAATAATAATTTGATTTCAGCGGTGTCACCTGAATTGTCGTTACATGGCTGTGAGTTGTGGAGTAGTCAGTAAGTAAAGGGGTGAAAAAGAAAAAGTCAGAGATGGTGCAGACAGTTTGCTCAGAAAGATTAAGCTTGTTTGTCTCATTGAAATCCCAGCTGTTTTAGGAAATTTTTCTAAAATATAATAACAAAAAATCCTGACATACTTGTTTATTTATTTATTTGATTTATACCCCGCCCATCTGGCCTATAAGACCACTCTAGGCGGCTACTTGAATATTCTCAGTGAAACACAAAGGAATTTAACCAGAAACCTGGGTTTTAGAACTTTAAGAGATTTTTTGGCTTAAGAGATGTTTTAATGAGAAATGTGGGGATGAAACTTATAATTTAATCTTCTATTGCATTGTCTCTGGCTTTAAGTGACATGGATCCACAGAGTGAGGGATAAAAATACCTTTTAAGACATACATTTCACTGGAAAAAGATTTAAGGAAAGCAAAAAAAAAAGTTTTTGTTTTGTTTTGTTTTGTGTCTGGTAGGAAAAAACTGTTGAAATCAGAGATATGATTTGTTACAGTTGATCTTTTTGGTCATGATGAAAACTGTGGACTAGAAGACCAGCTGACCTTGCATATACCAGTAGATGATGTTTCTTTTAGGAATCTTCTTAATTTTGGTAGTCTTGTGTTGACAAGCTGGCTGGATAGCTCAGTGGTTTAGGTATCTGGCTGTGGAGCCAGAACTTGGAAATTCACTTTCCCAAGATGACTCCTGGGAGAAGAGCCAGCAAGCTATAGTCTCAGGATGCCCCAATAAGAAGGGAATGGTAAACCACTTCTGTCCATTCTCTACTTGGAAAACCCTAGAAAATGTTTCTCTAAGTCAGAATTGACTTGACTGCAATTTATTATTCTGTTGGTAATCATATTATTCTGTATTTTAAATTCTAGAATAGAAGCAACTGTTCTGTTTTCATGGAGTTCCTGCATAAAATTAATCCAGAGAGGTTGATTAAAGAGGGCAATTCTGGATTTAGGAAGGCATCTCAAGCATTCAGCTGTGAAGCTACAACTAAACAAAGTAATCTTAGTTTTTCTTGTTGTCTGGATTGTACAGCTGTAACCATGTTCTATCCAGAAGTCAGGGAGAGAGATTTGAGATGCACAACAGCCAGTAAGAAGGCTTCTACTGAAGTTGAAACGACCAGGTTGTGTGGAAGCCTTCATGTATACAGTCTGGCCCTGCATATGTTTATGGTGTAGATGTTGCCATCACAAGCTTGGGATAGTTGGTGACATGAGCAAGGCTGGTCAATAGGGTCCAGCTTCCTAGTCTGGCATGTTGAATGTAACTTGTGAGGGATAACTTCTGAATAGGGCTACAGTGTCATTGGATAAAACTACATCTCATATGCTTTTTGCAGAAGGTTGGGGAGGCTTGTGGGCGTTCTGTGTGGTACAATACCCAGGGATATTTGGTACAGTACTTGGGTTGACATGTAACATACTTGAAATAATTGGTGCTCCTTTGAGGAGAATATTCTGTAGTTAGGGGGGTATTAGAAGGGTGTTTTTGAACAAATAAGACCAGCAGAAATGCTGCACTCAGCCTCTTTAATCATCAGAAAGCCCACCCTCTTTTTTAATAATGAAACTGTTTGTGCAGGTACTGACCAAGACAGCCCGGAAGATTCATTTGCTTATTTCTTCCATTCTCTTAGCAGGGCTTTGATTCTGGAAACCCTTCTTGCTATGGGCATCCTAGTCCAGGAGCCAAGGATGCAGTAGAGGCCCTGTTGCCTGTTGAGAGAACAGAATCCTAATAGTTCTTTGTGTTGTCTGTCCTAGGCTGACAAACGTGCTCACCATAATGCCCTGGAACGCAAACGTAGGGACCACATCAAGGACAGTTTCCACAGTCTGCGGGACTCTGTGCCATCGCTTCAGGGAGAGAAGGTGAGTTTATTGAGAGAAGTGATGTGCTTCTCCTGAATGCTGCCTATCAATTTGAAGGATCCCCAGTCCTTCTTTGGCATCAGGTTAGAAAGCAAGAAAGAGCCAAAGCCAAGACAAAGCTTAACAGGTATTTCTGCAAAATGTTCAAATAGTTTGCTTGAAGTAATGTTCCACTTGCTTCATAGTCTGTACGCTGTAAAGTAAATGATCAGTGTAATGAGCAACTTACCCTTTTAGAGGCATTTCTGAATGGTTGGATGTCCTTACTTGTCCCTAGCTTCTTAGGGCTGCCTTTAGCATGTGGCATCGCATTTAGTGCAAGACTTTCTCTCTCTATATATGAAATTAGTCTGCTTCTTACAGCTATGTGGTATTGTGAAAGATACTGTCTTCCTCCCTTGTCCTCAAAAACCTTGTTTTTAAAAAGAGCTTTCCTATATTTAGATTCACCTCTGCAAGGCTCTTGACTGGACTGTACAAATAGAAAAAGAGGTTGTTCGGTGTTCAGATCTTCAAGTCAAAATCAACAAATGATCGGTTCCATGTGTGTTTTCTGTTGTTCGCACTGAAGCTGTCTCTTACTGATAGGGAATTTAAATAATTTTCCCTGAGGTCATACCACCACTCAGTCTGTATTTAAAAGTTTTAAATTGTGGCTTAGGATTGGTAGACATTCAGGTAGGCATCCTTCAGTTTCGACAGAGAAAATAAACAGACAAGCAGAGTGATTTCTAAATTTGTCCCAAATGTGTAGAGAATATGTGAAAGATGAGTTCTTTTTAAAAAGAATTCATATACAATGATGCTAGCATGCAGTATCTAGATTTCCATAGGGCTACAGTGACTATCCTGAAAAGGAATGGGGAAATGATACCCTGCTAGTCATCAGTGGCTGGAATGCCTAAGGAGTTGTCTGCAGAAGCTCAGTACAAAGTATTTAGCTTGATAGGCAACATTTTAATGTGCAGTCACCTCTAATGACACTATGTCGTAAACGTGGTTAGAGCACTCCTTTTTGTTACTCATGGTGTGCAGGCAAACTTTTCAAAACTGAGATCTGATACTTTGTTGTCAAAAATACATATCTTTCATTTCTGTGTTTTTGATTTCCGTTGAGGTTAGTGCATCCTGCTGAGCATTTAATGCTCTGGAATTTCAGGTATTATTTGGAGGCTGCTGGAGAGGGTTTTGCTTTGTGCTAGCAACTCCAGTGAAGGTCAGAATGATTGTATGCATTGTTCCTAGATGCACTGGAATTGTAAAACTGCTTAGGGTCTATGTGTGTATTTGGACTTAATGTATATGGACCTAATAATTGTAGTGGTACGAATGGACTTCATATTCTGTTTCACATCGATGTTCTAGTTTTGCATAAATAATGTTTTTAACTAATTGTTATTTAATTGGTCACAGTACTAATGGTTTGCCAAATCACCGTTTATTTGTGCAGTAGTGTTGAATTGCTATATAAATATTCTAAATTACAGTGCTGTGTTTCCAAAGCTTAGAGACAGGTAACACTTTAAAAATAAAATGGAAGGGGGAAAAAACAGAAGCATGAGTACACACCAGTAAAGTTCTGATTTTAGTTATCTACTGTCTGAGCCTTACTTTCAAGATGTAGCACAACCAGAATCCTTAGTTGTGAGTCTGAAAATTGTGCATGTTTAGATTTTTAGTTTTTCAAAGGAGAGAGCACTGTAAGTGTGATGCAGCTATAAGGATGTGTATCTGCACCCTTTAATGTTTGAAGCTGGTACACAGAATGAAAAGAGCATTCTAGGTTGACCTCAAAGAAATACAGGAAGTTATTTTTAAGGGACCTTCAACCTAGTCTTATACTAATGCACTTTATTTATTTTATTTTATTTTATTTTATTTATATCCCACCTATCTGGTCGGGTTAGGACCACTCTAGGCGGCTATAGCAGATTGAGTGTTAGACGAGGACTCTGGAGAGCAGGATTTGATTCTCCGCTTAGCCATGGAAAGTTAACTGGGGGTGTGGAACTTGTAAAACCGCTACTTAAGTATCTCACTCACTTTGAAAGCCTTAGGTTCACTATAAGTTAGTTTTGATTGATAGCATATAAGAAATAAAAACAACCTTGTCTATCTTATGTCAGGAATTACAGTTCCACTTTTTGATGCCAGCAAACTTTGGATGTTAATCAGCAAAATTATGAAATGTTTATTTGTAAAAAAAATAATAATGATTAAACCCATATTCAACTTTCCATAAGAAACATACTCAAAAAGTTTCATAAAGCTTTTTGAGCCATGTTCTCAAGAAGTTTCTTAAAATACTTTTCAGAGCTTTTAATCCCAGAAAGCTGAAATGCAGGTACCGTACAAGGTATAGGTGATTCTCAAATGTTATCAGAAAAGCTTTAAGCAAATGTTAGAACCTACAGTGTGGGTACTTGAAACCTAGACAATTGTTGCTGTAATTGATGTATTTCATATTTTATATTGCTGTCCCTATGCGGTGAATAACATTTAGCCCATTTTATCAAAACCTGCATATAAATTAAAGTGTTGATTATTAGTGAGCTAGTAGAAAATATGCCACTGTTACTCAGGCTAGAAGTAAATTAACTTCGAAAGGCCAAAGGCATTCAAATAAACTGGAGAGAGAACTGATGCTAGCTTTAGATTCATTAGCAGGAACAGAAAGTACCTAATATTTCTGATGTTGGTTTAAATCTCCATCAGTGCTCCAAGAATAGTTGACCGAAAATAAAACTAGAAGGCATACTTAACAAATGTGAATTGCATTAAAATTGGATATGAATGAGAATAGAGTTGCAAATTGCATTAACATTTGGACTTAGTATTAATAAGCAATAATGTCTCCAAATGTTCAGAATGTTATTCCCTATATTGGAAATGGATGTTGTAATAAGTTGAGAGAGTATGGTATACATAAGGAGACTTGGAGAGTTTGTGGCAGAAGTGAGAAGTGAACCAAGTAGATCCTCATTCATAGTTCAGTTTCTTAGCCACTGTGCTACACAATTAGTTGGCATATTTGTAGATGGCTTGGAAATCACTAAGCTATGCCCTCTTCACATACTAAATTATCTAATTAGTGTAGACTGTGACTGGCAGAGGTGCTTCATCAACCATGGACCATGGGCTGTAATCTAGTGGGGAACATGAAACAGAGACACGTGACCAAAAGTTTCATATTTGGCTGCTGTCCCCCAAATACTAATTGCACACATTGGGTTGAATCCAGAGTTCAGCAGAACAAAATTCTGTGAACTGAATGCTCCTGCAGGCAAAAATGTTGGCAAGGACAGGGGAAAATGACTTCCCAATTCCTCTGTAGTGCCTCAGAAACTCAGCCAAACTCTGATCTGTAGTTTGGTGGTTATTCCTGAGCAACTTGAAGTGGGTGTCTGGGGGCTGCACAAAGAAGGGAAATTAGCTACAGTTAGCTCTTCACTTTCTGCTCACAGAAGCATACACTTTGCATAGCAGGAGCCTGTACCTGTATTCCACTTACTTTAAAAGTAGAAGGAGCTCTTCTGTTTGTAGTACTGGTCATTGGTCTAGATTCAGCCAGTTATTTTGTGTAACTTAATGTGCATTCTAAAAATAAATCCAGTGTTCAAAATAAAAATGATACAGTTAAAATCAGATTCCTTCAAGTCCTGAATGATTTCACTTGGAGGATTAAGAATATTCTTAATTTGTTTACTAAATTCAGTGGAGTAGGAAATTGTTAATTTCTCCTGATTGTGTTTAATTTCAAGAAATATAAAAGGTAAGTATAGACTTTATGTAAAAATAAGAGAGTGCATTTGCATGGCAAATGCTTATAGTCCTTGTGAGTAAAATTTGAGAAGCAGGATAAATAGAGAGAAAAAATATTAAGTTCTAAAAACTAATGTAGATGTGGGGCCACTAGATGAGATTTGAATATAAGAAGACTTGTTAGTGGTACTTCATAATGACAACTCATGATATGAATTAAAAGCTCAGAATGGCAGTTTCTGACGAAAATAGTTTATTACTATTAATGGAATATTTTTAAAATAATAAAAGAGATCACTTAATTCAGTGGTTCTTAACGTTGGGTTACTCAGGTGTTTTTGGACTGCAACTCCCAGAAGCGTTTACCACCAGCTGTGCTGGCTGGGATTTCTGGGAGTTGCAGTTCAAAAACACCTAAGTAACCCAATGTTAAGAACCACTGACTTAATTAAAATAAAGCTCTATGGACCTCCATAGTGCTTCTGGGTTGTTTGGTATATAGCATTGTCTAGCTGAACAATTCAGCTTTTGATGGTTGTTGTGGGTTTTTCGGGCTCTTTGGCCGTGTTCTGAAGGTTGTTCTTCCTAACGTTTCGCCAGTCTCTGTGGCCAGCATCTTCAGAGGACTGGAGTCAGAACTCTGTGCTCTGTTGTAGTTTGTTGGATAGTTGTTATGTTAGACTACATAGGGAAGCCATTGAAATCCACAAACACCAGCAGAACTTCAACAAAAAAGAAGAAAGTCTAAAACTCAACAAAGCCTGGTTCCTACCACTGAAAAATACAGCCTTGCAAACGTCAACGAACTCTACCCGGTCACAAGGACCAGGGATCACTGTACACAAAAGACCAGCTAACGACGCCCATCAATCACAGTGACAGATCATCTCTCTCCCTTAACAACAATACACCCACAACAAAAACATGCTGATCACCATAATCACCCAATCTCCTGAAAAGGACAAAAGCTGTTCCCACAGCTATAAATACTCAAGAATCCAACAAACTACAACACAGCACAGAGTTCTGACTCTTGTCCTCTGAAGATGCCAGCCACAGAGACTGGCGAAACATTAGGAAGAACAACCTTCAGAACACGGCCAAAGAGCCTGAAAAAGCCACATCTGTCAGATCCCGGTCGTGAAAGTCTTTGAGAATAAATTCAGCTTTCATTGATACACCCATTCAGAACTGAGAAATAGGTTTGCTGTAATGTCAGAACTGTTATGTTGTTAAAATGACAGTTATGTGGTAATATTCCATATTGTCTTGTGTTTTTAATGTTTTGACTAGAACTGTATGTTCTGTTATAATCGAAAAGGAAGCACTAAACACTGGAATATATTTAGAAAAAAAAGAGAGAAAGTGACAGATACAGCCATTCAAAAATTATATGAATGCATTTTGATGCCATCTGTTTTTTTAATTGAACAGTCATAAATATACTGTTCATTCTTATATTTTAGCTACTTGTAATCTATACTGTCATAATCTGTTTTGGAGATTTGAGGGACCCTTTGGAGCAAATTTTGGTGGGAGGGCTGCTGCAGGGAGGAGGGTGGGGGAATGTTATAATGATAATGTATGTGTAACCAGTGTTGTTTTTGTTTAACGAAATAATACTGTCTATTGAAGGTAACCTAGTAGTGCTCATGGGAAGAACTAATTCATATTTAATTTTTTCCAAGGAGTGTTTGAAAACCTGTTTTTCCTCCCCAGGAGATTGAGTTTTTGTAGTGTGCTTTGCTAGTCTTGTGTCTTTCATTTAGTGGTATAAACTATCCAATACTAAACTGTATCAAACTAAGCCTTTCAAACCTGCATACACACCTGCTTGAGCAAGAGGTCATATCCTTTAGAACCTGCTATATTTTGCTTGTTCACATTTGAATTTTAATGAAAACCATGCCGTGTATCAGTATTTTCACAATATATTTGTGAACACAGAACTAAATGCTGCTCTGTCTTAAAAGAAACAAATCCAAGCCCAGCAGAACAAAATGGTTCCGTCTTGCTCTTTGGATAACACAGCTTGATCTTGTCTTCACCGGGACAGATTTACCTCTTTGATAGGATCCAGCACTAAAGAGAGTATGTTTACTGTAAAAATACCCCTGGCCCAGATTTCCTTTCTTTTCTTTCTCTTGTGAAATTCTTTATGGATACTCAGTGTTTAGATCCATCTACATCCCTTTCCTTATTTCTCATGTCAGATGAATGTCTAAAACATTAATTTAAATACAAACGCAATATGGAAGCACCAGTTTACATTAGCCAAAGGTTGTAAGCTGCTTTTTAGAAATATTTTTAAAATATTTTGCAAAGATAAATGTTTTAAAACCATTAGTAAGTTTTTACTCCCTCACACAGTTTCACAGTTTGACTGTGTATAGCCATGGCCAGTCTTTTATAGTCTCAGTTGTAACAATCAGAAAGCTCTGTAGGGGTGAAGTTCTTGCAAATCTCACATAGATCCTAAGGTTATAACTCAGTCAGATGTTGACTATATTGATAAATTATTTCCCTGCAGGAGGGGAGTATTGGCATAGCTACCTGTGAAGTAGGACTTTATCTGGTGTGTTTTTTCCCTACTATTGCAACAGGCATCCCGGGCTCAAATCCTAGATAAAGCCACAGAGTACATCCAGTACATGCGCCGGAAAAACCACACACATCAGCAGGACATTGATGACCTGAAGCGCCAGAATGCACTTCTGGAGCAGCAAGGTGAGTGGGGCTGAGCTTGAGTGTTCACTGTGCTATGAATGCTGTGTTTCCTTGCGGAAGAAAACTATCTTATTTTTTCCCCTTTGTATAGCGCAGGAGTAGCATTCATGCTCCCATCTAGGCCAATTTTATAAGACTTCAGGAGGGATTTTTAAAAATTCAGGAGTCTTTGGGATGATTCCACACACATACACACACTCTGGAAGATTTGTACCTCTTAAGAGGTGCTATTCTCCCATAAAATAAGAGATAGTGTCCCCCAGCAGTGTATTGTATCCAAAAGTCTGGTTATTAAAAATAAAAAATTGTGGTTGCTGATTGTTTAAACAGGATGTCACTGGCCACTCCTTTCAACCTGCAATTTGAGAGTAGTCTGTGGCAGGCCTTACAGCTGGAAAAACATGATTACTTGGAATACTTCAGAGCTTGTCCACCAGAAAAATTTCCAGGTACTTTCAGTAAAGCTGTGATGGGGTGAAAAGGCATAGGGTTTTTTAAAAAATGTTTATAGTGGAACCATTTGAATCTAAACAGTCCAATCCCTAGAGCTTTGCCTCTGTCTGAAATTCAGAACATATGCCCGGATAGGGATTGCAGGGAGAGCTTTTCATCAGCTACTACAAGTGACTGACATAGTCACATTTTTAAGGCACACAGAACATTGATTTGGGCTTCTCTCTAACTTGATCTAAGTGATCTCGCCTTTGCTGTGGAATGCTGTACCAGATCCGTCTTGAACATTGTCACCATTTTGGACAAAAGTCTGAAGAGAGGAAGCTTGCAGAACATGCAGAAGTTATCCTGTGAACTACAATTCTGACTGTGCCAGGCTTTAGCAGATAGGAAAATCTGTGCACATTGGTCAGGTTTTTCTCTCCCTTAGTAATTTGACCAGTGCATAGACAGTATAGGAGAGGGACTGGAATAAGGCATGTTAATACACTGCCCTATGGTCTGCTTTCGTGCCCAGGAGGGCCATGGAGAAAATCACCTGATGGAACTAGAGTATTGCTTAAGGGCTTTAATTGACAAATACAATACTTACACCATATTGAACCAGACTAGTAAATTGCAGCTCATGGAGGATAATCAGTGGGCACTTATCTGAGTAGTGAAGTTCAGTGTTGTGTGTGTGTGTGTGAGTGAGTGAGTGAAAGAGAAAGAATACACGCATGTATGCATGTGCATACATACACACACACACACACACACACACACACACACACATAAAGGTACAGCATTTTAAAGCTTTAAAGAGTGACTCATTCCATTTCTTTTTTTGGTCCACTGCACAAGATGTATGAAATAATCCCCTTAGTAACTGCACATTTTTAAGCTTTAAAGAGTGACTCATTCAATTTCTTTTTTTGGTCCACTGCACATGATGTATGAAATAATCCCCTTAGTAACTGCAAAGATACAGCAAAGGAACATTCAGCATCTAGCACTGAGCTGAAGCAGGCATTTGTTATAATTATTTTTCTCCTGCCTTTCCAATTCAGAAGTGAAACAGTCAAGGCAGATTGTGTGGCTAAAACAAATTATGCAGTAAAAAACAATTATTGGTATAAAACCAGACAACTCAGAGGACTAAACAAACTCATTCCTGCCCCACAGGTAAATCAAAAGCTTGCTGGGGGAAAGGGGGAATAAATTGTTCTCTTGGCAACAGGTCATTTGTCAAAAATGGAGCAAAGCCAACCACCATACATGTATGCATCACTGTCATCTGTCCCTCAGAGGATAGTGTGATACATGACAAGGTCTAGCATATTTGACCAGTCATAAAATATTTGTATTCACAAAGGCTTTCACGGCCAGGATCTAATGTTGTGGGTTTTTCGGGCTCTTTGGTCGTGTTCTGAAGGTTGTTCTTCCTAACTTTTCACCAGTCTCTGTGGCCATCATCTTCAGAGGACAGGAGTCAGAACTGTCTGTGCTCTGGATGCCAACCACAGAGACTGGCGAAATGTTAGGAAGAACAACCTAAAGAACACAGCCAAAGAGCCCGAAAAACCCAAAATAACCATAAAGAATTTGATTAAGTCTCTTTAAAATCTTAACATTATTAAACAATGAAAAAGTTGCTTTAACCACCAAACAAGTTTAATATGTAACTGGTTTTAATCATTTCAAAAACATTAAGTAAGGTTTCTTTAAATGTGGTCATTAAATACGTACTGAGGCATGGAAGAAGATATGGAATAAAGAAGTTTTATAGAAGACAGCTGTGAAAATAAAAGAAAATTATTAGAAAATAATACACCGGTAAAATTTGAATCATTTAGATCCCAAAAATTCTACATTATATTGGAGATGCAGCCAGGATACTGATACTTACTTTCATAAGTGGTGGAAATGTGATAGGATTTTAATTTTTCAGAAGTTGCTGTTTGAAGAAATTAATTAAATATTACGTGTCAGTGTGAAAATGTGCCCCAAAATTGTGATATTAACCCTTTTTAAGAAGGATCAATGAGAATGGTAAAAAAATTGATTACTAATTTAGTAGTGTAGCAAGACAAAATATAGCATAAAATTCAACCATTAAATATAACTTTCAGTTAAGTGAATTGTATAAAGAAGTATGGAATTTAGCCATTAATACATTGATATGTGGGATTGTTAAAAATGAATGAATTTAGCAATATATGGGAAGATTTTGTAGAATTTGTTCTATAAGCTAGCATCAGCACAAGAAATATGGCATTTTTGAAGGGACGAAGGACTTTGTAATGAGAAATGAAAAAAATAATAATAAAGGCCTTTGGTCCTTTTGAGGAGAAAGGTGGAATAAAAAAAGGACTTTGTAATGAGAAATGAAAAAAAAATAATAATAAAGGCCTTGGGTCCTTTTGAGGAGAAAGGTGGAATAAAAATATTTCAGATAAATAAATAAATAATTGTAATAATACAGGTATCTCAAAGGCCCCAGTGGTGGGAAGCACTAAATGTTAGTGATAAGGATAACTATCTATGGAGAAGTATTTCTTTATATTAAGGATTACTTTTTTTTGTTTCATCTTTATAGTTAATAATTATGTTTTTTACAAATTGATGGTGTTTGTGTTGTAAGTTTATTTTTCAAAATAAAAAAGTATTAAAATGTGATCATGGCATTAGAGAACTATTTTACTACAGTATGTGTTGAACCTAGAATACCAGGGGCAGCCATCAGTTAAAGTTTCTTCTAAAAATGGAATTTAGTAAAAATTAAAATAAAGTACCTGTGACTAGTAGAAAATATAAGTTTCTTTGGAGACCATATTTCCCCATCCACTGCAGTTGGCAGGATGGACCCCTTAGTAGAACCAGACAGTAACTTTTGCCTTGGAAACCTGCCATTGTAAAGGTATTTGCAGTTATATGTGGAGGGGGGCAGGAATTCTTTCTTACTCACCAGCTTTCCACCCAATAGTTATAGGAAAATTGGAATATATTCTCATTTTTGTCCTAGCCAACCAGTATCATAAAAAAGGGTAAGATACCCTCATTATGGTGGCATTCCTGGTTTCATTAATATTTTACATTATTTCGATATGGTTAATTGGCCTGTCAATTAATTTGTGTGTCATTTGTAAAAGTTCACCACCTGATGATCTTAATTGATGGACAGACAAGTTCAGTGAGGAGAAGAGAAAGATCCTCTTGGTATTAATTTTGTAAGTATTGTTGTTCCTAAACAGTCTTCTGCCCACGCATGCTAGACCTTAGGTTAGTAGTAGAAATTGTGTCTTCTGACACTTCAGTGAGTCACATAGATAATTTCACATTGACCGTGTGAAATTGTGATCACTCTCAGTTGTTCAAAAATAATTTGAACATTTTCATTCATCATAAGAACAGCCCAGTGAGTTGAGGTTCAGATGGCGACTTCCCCAAGACCACTTAGTGATCTATACCCAGACACCTGACTTTGATTTAGCATTTGGCCTTTACTGGTCAGGTTCTGCTCTTATTCCAGTGAGTTCTGGGGTACTTGGGAGTACAAGGATCTCAACTTTCTCTATTTTCCCTCTTTCAGGTCTTTTATATCTTTAGAGCTGCCAATTTTAATCATATAGCTGATCTGATTTCTTTAAGAGTAGCAATGTTAGACTACATCTGATGCATAGGATTTTTGTGAACTGAATGAGAGTTGGAGAATTGCTCAGTTTTTAAACTTGACATGATTTTGGAAAATGTATACTATCCTAGGTGAATTATACATCAGTCTGAAATGTGTTTTGCTTTGAAAGACAGGGTATAAATACTGAAATGAATTAATGAAACTGCCTTAACCAAATGCAAAGAGTTGAACATGCCTAACTTGGTATGTAATGTAATGTTGTTCCCCTATCCATTGCCATTTTCTTGATCTTGCATTTTAGTTCGTGCACTGGAGAAGGCGAGGTCAAGCGCTCAGCTGCAGGCCAACTATTCCTCTTCAGACAACAGCCTCTACACCAATCCCAAGGGTAGCACCATCTCCGCCTTTGATGGAGGCTCCGACTCCAGTTCAGAATCTGAACTGGAAGAGCCCCAGAGCCGGAAGAAGCTTCGTATGGAGGCCAGCTAGAAGAGGCCTCATTTCCTGCTGCCATTAGACACTTGCTGGCTGCTTCAGAACTTTCCTTTTTTCTTTCGTAGAGGCTCTTGGACTGCAGTTTCCCCTGTTCCTTACCCCCTTCTGACCTTTTTTAAGTTAAACCCAAATCCATGGCTTAGCAGCTTATGTTCTGAAAGACTTCAGACATAGCTTGGAGCAGGATGCAATTCCATTTGGTCCTGCCCTATGGCTGCAAGCTTCTAGGGCCAGGAATGCCCAGACTATTTGATGAACTCTTGAGTCTGTGATTGCCTGGTCTGTGTGGGGACAGTGACCTCTCCATTCTTCCACTAGAATTGCACCAGCCTCTCTAACGCATTTATCAAAATATTTCTATTTATGACAAAGCCAAACATCCCCTTAAGGATCCTGGTGGGAGGAGGGACCACACAAATACCTGTGGGTGAGTGAGTGGGTGAGTGAGTGTGTGTGTGTGTTTGTGTGTGTGTCCTTCTTGTCAGAAGTGTGGGATTTAAGGTGAGGAGACTAAATGATTTTTTTTCTTACAAAGGAATAATTGGTATTTATTTCCTCCTATGGAAACTCAATCTGGTCAGATTGCTCCTCCTCTGCGGACATTGGTGATGTGAGCTACAGATTTGTATCAAGATCAATTCTTCCCCCTTTTCGAATTTCTCAGAGTAGAGCCAGCTTTTTTAATGTAAATACACCACAGGCTTTGTTACTTGGTACTAATAACTGCATCAAAGCGTGGACCTCTGGCAAATGGGCCAGCTACCTATGTGAATTATAGCAGCATAGGCTGAGAGTGAGCAAAGGCTTATTGTGTGCACGCGCATGTGCATGGGCGTGCGCATGTGTGCGTGGGTGTTTATATGTGACCTTATATTTTTGTCTTCTTCCCACTCTTGTTTGTGATGTTTTCTGAATCTGGTGTATACAAATGTAGCTTGGTCTCTGTCCAGGTGTGAGTCTGTTCCATGGAACTGAAGTATGTTGTACATACTGCCCAAGAATTGTCTTGCAAGTTAAGGCTTCCCTTTACTATAAGACTATAAATAAAAAAAATATTTTATCCTTGTGAGTGGTACTGGTGTCTTTGTGGGACTTCAGTGTGGGTGGGTAGAATTTCTTTGGGCAGTTAAACACTTGTACTTCTCTTTAACTGCAGTGGATAACAATAGTGACTCCAGAACACATCCATAATATATGTGTGGGAAGATTAGTAGATTTATATAAGATATTTTGACAACTGTGTCCATAACATTTCAAGGAGATTCTCTTTCACCACTGCTGTTTGACATCTCACTCATCATCTTGTAAATAATTTTAAATAAAACTGGATTGGGCCACCGTATTTCAGAACAATCAGGAAAAATCAATCATCTGTTATACATGGATGACCTAAAACTATATGCAAACAGTTCCACGGAGATAGAATCACTGCTAAACACAGTGCAAATATTTAATAGATATTGAAATGAAATTTAGAATTGACAAATGTGCAGCTTTGTCTATACAACGTGGCAAGATCCAAAACCTAGATGGAATAAGAGTTTTAAAATGGCATTATTAAAAAATCACTATCAAGTTATAAAAAATTATAAATACCTTGGAGTACTAGAATCAGATAGCACCCTGCACTCAAAAGTTAAAGAACTGACAGAAAGAGAATACATCAAAAGATTGTGGTAAAAAAATCAAAATTAAATGGTGGAAATATAATCATACGGCCATATGGGCAGTTCCAGGAATTATACCCAGATGGAATTGGACCAAAATGAATTAGAAGAATTTAATCAGGAAACACAGAAACTAATGAACATGATATATTCTAAATCTAAAAAATTAAATCTAAAAAGTGATTATATTTATCATGAAATCTAAAAAGTGATTATATTTATCATGAAAAATCAGAGGCCATGGATTACTGCAAATACAGGTAACACAGGAGGAAAAAAGAAGCCTAAATGACTATATCAGTACAAGTAGAGAAAATTACTTAAGCAAAGCAAAGCGTGCTGCTTACATACCACCCCATAGCGCTACACGCACTCTCTGGGCGGTTTACAAGTTAATTATGCAGGCTACACATTGCAGTGAAAATGGAGAATATTTTGAAAGCAACAGAAAGAAACGTTCAATATAAGAAACATCATTTTGAAAATAAACAGCTGGAAAAATAAACTACTACACAAACACCATCTCAGAAATATTAATGGAAGGCATGACAATAATTTGCATGGGCATGGTTAAAACTGGGGACCTTTAAGAAAGAAACTGAAGGCTATATTTTTCTTGCACAACAAGCACACCAAACCAATGTGATGAAAGCTAAGATTCAATGAATTAGTGCTAACAGCAAATACCGACTGCGAAGAAAAAGATTAAACTGTCACACCTCATCTGTAAATGTCCAAAGATTGCACAAACAGATTACAAAATTAGACATGATGGACTGGCAAATTAGTGTACTGGTCATTATGGCAAAAAAAAAAATTGACAGCCTCAAAAAACCCATGTGAACATCTGGTAGAGAAGATGTCAGAAAATGACAAGTCAAGATCTTGTGGGATTTTCAGATCCAAACTGTTAAACACCTTGAACATAACACACCAGACATAGTAGTAATAGAAGGAAAAAATATCTGGATAACAGACATTGAAATTCTAGGTAATGCCAGAGTTAAAGCTAAAGAATTGGGAAGTTAACAAAATACAGAGATCTGGCAATCAAAACATCTCGCTTGTGGATGAAACATATCTTAGTGATCACCATCATTGTCAGGGCTTTGGGAACAAGATCAATAAATTTCCCACAGTATTATAAGCAGTTGCAGATTCCAGAAATAACATCAGAGCTACAAAAAACAGCATATATATATTACATCGATAATTAGCATGTACTTAGGATTTTGGTTAAAATTTGTATGTATTATATAATACCAGTCAATGCTTTTATAATTTTGATTGACTGTGCCTGGTATTTTTGAATGCTGATAATAATGATGGCTGATGATGGCATACCGAAGGCGTTTCTAACACCTATGCAATATGTATGTTAAAAATTTAATGCTTAAACAAAAAAAAAAGTTCAGGAGCAAGCAACATGCCCTCTTAATTTTCAGCCTTGCTGGGAGAGGCTCTGCCTCTCTTGTGCATGGCTTTGTCCCTGCATAAATGGCCCCCCATGTACTGCCCCCCCAATTCATTGTCTTCCATCATGACTGGAACCTAATGCAACTGCTGCACAGAGGAAAGAGGAGCCATGCACACGCGCCCAGCTTAATAAACTTTGGGAGCAAATGTGCAATGGTGTATAAAAAGTATTTTCTGAATTGAACTCTAGATTCTTTTCATTCCTGTCAAACAGTTGTCTATATGAACTCAAATGTGTGTCATGTTAGAGATGGAAAAATATTTGCTAGATTTTGGATTCCTCTGGTCACAGTAGTTCCCAACCATGATTAATCCAGGTTCTTGTAGTCCAAGAACACCTGGATTACCCAAGATTAGGGACCACTATTCTACAAGGAATATTAAAACCCTGGAAAACTCTTATTTCAGAGCAGGAGCTCTTGTTTTCAAACATATCTATATTTCTATACAGGCAATCCTTACTTAACGACCAAGTTCCGTTCTTACGACTAGATTGTTAAACGAATTGCTTGATAAGTGAGGAGCAATAATAGTGTATAAAATAATAACAGATCATGTGCCATTGAGAAGTGGTGTGAAAACACAAGCATGGATTTACAAGGGTTGTAAAGGGTCATAAATCCAAGCGGTCACTAAACATGTCGGTTGTTAAGTGAGGAGTGCCTGTATGTGAAATGCCTCTTATTTGCTTGTCCCTTTGAGAACCACAATATGTTTGCACAATAAGTAAGCCTAAGACAGTGACTGACCATTAAGAAAGATGCCAACAACCCATTGATTGCCTCAGATTCTTAAACGAAGCAGCAGTCATCCTACATTGGGACAGTTCACATTGTTTGCAGATTTTACAGTTTTGTGCAAGAAAAAGCATCCTGCCAAGTGGGAGAACTCTTACTGAAATTCTTCAACAGCAAAAATGTTGCAGTTGTTAATCCTTGCTTGTGAGGATGTGGCAAGTAAAGGTTTACAGCCATACTTTGTGTTTATGGCATACTTTGCTTTCAGAGATGGATTATAGGCTACAGGGAGATAGAACTCTGTGGAACGGTAAGAAAAGCCTTACAGCACTCAGAAGTGTCAAGATATGTTTTCTTCTGCTGTTTTGCATACTTTAATTTGAATTACGGGTGCATTATTACCTTGAAGTGAGCTTACATATGCAGAGAATGTCATACTGCCTTTGCCTTATTGGTGGTTAAACAACTTGTGTCTTTGGGCTAGAGAGCATCTTTTGTCATCCTCTCTGTATGTTGTGAATGGAGGGGGGCCCTATATGCACCTTAACATATAAGCAAACCTTGCCCTAAAAGTTAAAGTAGTTGTTGATGCAGTAGTGGAAATTTAATTTAAGTCATACCTCTCATGTTCTGAGGTAAACCAAATCATGACTGTTACCTAATATTGAGGTGGAATAAGTATGGGAATGTTAAAAAGAACTTAAGGTTTTTAATTAAATTAGAAACAATGGCTGAAATCCTGTTGTTTGGTAGACAAAATCACCACTTGAGAAGGACCATTGAATCAGTGGGTACCTGTAGAAAACTTACACATGGAGGCATAATGTTGGGCTGTGCTGGTCTTCACTGTAAGAGAAACAAGGTCATGTTTATCTACTGAAACCTTTGTCAATAGTTGAAATACTGATTGTTATTAAGAACCTATCAACCAGTTGTAGAACAGACCAACCCTCAGTATCGAGGTAGCCAGCTCAGCCTGCCTTCCACTCTATCCCTGCTGCTGTTGAATGCCAGGTCTGTGTCCAATAAGGCCCAGGTGATTTACAACCTTATCCTGGAGGAGGATGCAGACCTGGCATGCATAACCAAGACATGGCTCAATGGGGAGGGTGCCCTTCCCCTGGCTCTCATCTGCCCGCCCGGACCCCTGCCTCTCATCTGCCCGCCCGGTTACGGGGTCCAGCACCAGGGTAGACTGGAGGGGCGGGGGGGTAGCCATTGTTTACAAATCCAACTTAGAGGTTACTAGGCGCTCCTCGGTGGTAAAGCCAGGTCTAGAGGCACTCCACGTGTCGATAGGGGCTAGGGATGGTATTGGGATTTTGCTGGGTTACCACACTTTCCACGACCCAGCCACTACCCTACCGGAGCTGGCCGACTCTGTCTCCCCGGCATTGTTGGGATCCCCAAGGCTTCTTGTCTTGGGTGATTTCAACGTGCACGTGGGGGCAGAGACTACAGGGCCAGCTCTTGAGTTCTTGGAAACCATGGCTTCCTTGAACATGTCCCAACATGTCATCGGCCCCACCCACGTGGGTGGCCATACATTGGACCTGGTTTTTTCCACCAATTGGAGTAAGTGTGATCTGCTGTTGACTGACCTCGTGTCGGTCCCCTTGTCATAGTCAGATCACCACTTAATAAAATGTAATCTCTCAGTGGCACTCCCCCCTCGCAGGGAGCAGGGACCTATTTCTATGGTCCGCCCTCGAAGGCTACTGGATCCTGCTGGATTCCAGGATGTCATGAGAGGGGTCACAGCAGACGTAGCTAGCGCTCCTGTCAACGCTCTGGTTGATAGCTGGTCCACCTTCGCCACCAGGGCTATAGACACGATCGCGCCTAAACGCCCTCTCCATTGTAGAGCTTGGCCAGCGCCCTGGTTTAACCAGGAGCTTCGAGCGCTGAAGTGACATAGGAGAAGGCTAGAGCGTAGGTGGAGGAAGAACTCAACAGATTATAATAGGATAGCTGTCAGGGTCGCAACTAACCTTTACCTGTCTAAGGTAAAGACTGCTTGTCGAACTTACTTTGCTAACCGGATAAACGGAGCATCCAAACAGCAGGCGGAGTTATTCCATATATTGCGCAACCTATCTGGAACTGGTCTGGATGATAGGCCTCCCCCTAGTTTTTCATCTGACCAGTTTGCAGCCTTTTTAAAATCTAAAGTGGAGGCCATCCG